TCACCATGCGCCCACATCTATGACTAATTGCTTCTACTCCCTTTACCTATCATATTTCACCCTTCGAGATTGACACTTAATTGGACGGTTAATTCTCTTATTAATAGGCAACGACCATTTGCAGCTGATTGAGAGGTCACGAAATTTCATGACCTCATTAAATTCTGCCCAACTCGTGATCTTTGCCTTGTACAAACACTCCTGGTCACTACAATAGCCTACCCCTATCAGGTGCCAATGGAGGGGGAGGGGAAGTGAAGGAAGTGCCGGACAGCTAGCTACGTTTCAGCTTCGGGGCTGAACCTTATCAACCCTCTCCCTTACTCCCGTATAATTACTGTTTTTTAGATGTTTAAACTTTTGTTACTTTACCCTCCCTTATATAACTGTAAAGGCCTGATGATGAATAATCAAATTTCACTTCCTACATACCTACATGGGTATTATCTCGAAGCGAGGTTTACCGAGTATGGTCTTGATCTTTTCGTAAAAGTCGGCAAAAAACTATTTTAGTCGTATAACCAAGGCAGAGCTGAATCACCTTCACCCCTTCATTGAGAAGAGATATATCGATCGATACCACTGAAAAGTAAATACTCCCGGTAACTAGGCAGATAGCATTGTCGGCAACGACAAGAGAGACTGCAATATCCATTTATGGCTCGTTAGCCATCATCAGCTAGTCATACCCAACCCCAGGCCATGTACCATCTGATGCCTGAATTCATGAACTTTCGATCATAAGTCTAACACTCTAACCATTGGAATCATGATTATAGTTAGACTATCGTTTTCGATTATGTCCACCATATGCCCAAGAGCAGGGATGGTGACTAGAGACGGAGACAAAATTTAAGTGAAATAGACGCGCAAATGACTACCTCAGTCTAAACCCTCTCCCGGTTTGGATCGGCGAAAAGACAGAGTCGAGATGACCGAGCGGGAACCTGGCGTAAGCCGCTTTCTCTAATGCAGGTCAGAAACACCGTCTAACCTAGTTTTCCTTGAGAGTAGCTTTTCGCGCTAGTACTACTGCACTACTTCCCCTCACTTACCTTCAGTAGGCGTCCGGAAAAAAGCAAAGTGACCGAGTCTGCTATTTCTACTACTTCTATTTGTACTACTTGGTACTAGCAGGGACGCTGAATATTTGTAGTGCTGGTACTATTTGTGACGCTCATATTTGGCCGAAAATGAAACTGATTAGAGTCAGCACTGGGCTCGTGTTTCCTTACCCTCAATTAAGAGTGGGGACTTGAAGCGCATATATGTTTGCCCTGGTTTTTTTTCTAAATTATAGACTACGAGGACAAGTATACTGCTGCCAGAAGTAGTTTGCCAATGTCCGGAGTGCTAATTCTAGTTATCCTATTCGCTTAGGCCATTCACTGAGATAGAGGCTCGTTGTCTTGCGGGTTTCGATTGGGAAATATTGACACTGGTTGATTGTGATGCATCACGTGGGGTTGGGTATGACTGGCTAATGAGGTAGAAATGGTCCTCTTTGTCTTTGCTGACTATGTTGCCTGTCTAGGCTACTAACCACTGTTTGGCAGAGCTCGGAAATGAGTCCCAAGGCAGAGTGAGACGAGTGAGTTCCGTTAGCGATGAACAGTGAACGTTAATCAACGAGTGACTGTACATATTAGATGCCTGGAGGCAAACCTATAAATCAACCGCAAGGAAGTAGAACGCAAGGTTCGATAAAAAACATAGCGGGGTCATAAACCTAGGTTCTTCCGGGCTTGTGGTTGGATTGGCCGCCTGAAATAGGTCGAAAATGTCTAATTTTTTCGTGGGGCCAGCCATTCGAAGACAGCAGGTACCGGTGGAGTGCCATGCACTTCACTGGATGACTAGAACTGGGTCTCTCTCTCACATGAATTAAAAAATCTTTTTCAAAGATCATCCATACACACGTGCACATACATTCGGTTCTGAAAGTGCGTCACGCAGCTTTGGAAGTCTGCTCAGATAGATCAGATCTCCTGAACGTTTAAGACAGAACAAGAGCGGCAGAGGTTTTTTTCCCAATCGCAATAGATTTCGAAAAAAAGTAAACCCCTACGGTAGGGATGTTTGTTTCCAAATGCAGGATTTACTTACGCGTATTTGAACATGGGCTTCTTCGAATCTGACCCACGGTAAATGAAGTCAAACTGGTTCTCGGAACGATGTTTGCCGACACCAACATCGAGGCTGGCATACACACGATCATCTGTGCGGAAGCCGACTGGACCGGTCGGCAGCAGAAAGGCGGTCTTCGACTGAACTTCATACGAAAACCTGCAGATGAAATGGAAATTGAGATGGGTAGCCAGGGGGAGGGCTCGGTGAACGGACTTGTGACGGTCTAGTTGGCAGGACGTCGAAAACAACCAAAACCACAAATGCATGAAATGCAACGAAAAAACCAATAACAAAACCCAAGAACCCTCAAGTATGCCTATGATTAAAACGTTTATTCATCTCATCGTAAAAAGTGACTTTCTGCCCGTTTAAAAACAATAAATCATAATTGGATAACGATGATTCAGCTTGTGAAATCGGCCATCACATTTTACGGTCTGGGAGTTCCTCTGGGTTATCTTAGTTTAAACTGACACATTGTTTTACCGGAAGAAATTTAAACAAGGCAAAGATCAAGAGATAAGCAGAATTTATTGACGTCATACAATTTCGCGACCTCTAATTCAACTGCAAAAGGTCAGTCCAATTCAGAGGAAAAGAAGCTGGGTGTTGTGCCTTTTAAATAGAGCCGCTAGAATCTTTTCTTCGGATACGATCGATGAAGATATGAGTTTTCTCAAGAAAGTATTTCTTGCGAATAGCTATCCGGAGAAATTCAGTGATAATCATTGCAACCACAAGCAGAAAACTCCTCACGAAATATCACTGCCAAAAAGCCACTGAGCATCTTCCTACCTTTCAAGGCCGTAATAAAGCGAAAGCTTCCATGCCCGATTTAAATAATTTACCCCACCTCTAAATTGTTTTACGTAAACACAACAACGGCTATTCCAGTTAGACCAACTGAAAACATTCTGCCTATGCAAACCACATTAAACTGCGTTTATGAGCTTACATGTAGTTGCGGATGCAAATACATCGGGCGCACGCAAAGGTCGTTGGCAACGTGGTCAGCTGAACATATACCGAAGTGGTTACTCAAGTCGGAAAATAAACTACCTAAGAGTTCAATAACGTATTACCTAGTGGACACTGGCCATACGGTCGACCAAAAGACTGCAGTTAAGGTCGTACTTTGGGCGACGACTGGATGTATCTTACGATTTGCGGAGGCCGCTGCAATACGAAGGAGGAAACCAGAACTCT